AAAAAAAAAAAGGAAAGGTTTCCTAAAATGACCACAATAACAAATTTATTCTAAAAGACTCAAACATAAAACAGTAGAAATATCACAGGATAAAAACAAGCTTTACTGCCCAGTGGTCATTTCAAGGATAGCATTCACCGCGCCATCTTTATCACCACGTTTCTCCTCCAATATGCATCGAATAACATCAGCATCGACAGACTGGAACATGTTATGCAACTCCTTGATGTCTTCTTCAGTAATACGCACGGAGCCTGGTGAAAGTCGTTCTGAAAAGTTTGTGGTGCTTTCCAGGAATTTGCAGTTGGAAGGGATATGCAGAAGTGGGGGTCGTCATGTTCTATGGGAGCACACTTGCATTTCTTGAAAAAAAAAAACCTATTTTCGGCTGAGGACGTTGCACTTCTGAAGTGCGCGAGTTTTGTTCCACGGGTTGGAAAGAGAGAATTAAGTTAAGCACGCCTTCTCTAGCATCGCCCTAAAATTCCTAATTAACGAATGCACAGCGGGAGTACCGAACGCGTGATGGAGCAAAAGATGGGTCAAACTTGAATACCTGTTGCCCCGAAAGTTGGTACCAATCATCGATAACTTCTCCATTAAAAACTCCGCTTGGCAGAACTATATGAGCCCACGCTACGCATTCATCATTAGAAAATGCTCTCTAACAAACATTTTCAAGTAGTTTAAGGAACAAGCTACAAACGGAAACTAGAAAACCTTATTTCTCAGAGAAACCATGGCGAAATACAAAACAGAAAACCTCATCATAAATCTGGATGTAAATTGACTCAACGCCGTTTGGAAGATATGCGTTAATGATACGGTCCCATTTCGGTGCCCTTCCTCCTCGGAAATTTGTAGGAGTTTGGAAAACAGCATTCCCAACTCGAACTCTGCAGTACGGATCCATACGAACAAGACCATAGTTTTTCGCAAGTTTTGCTTCCACAACTGTTATTGATATTCGACCACGAGTGTTTGGAGGAACAAAGCTGTAGAATGCTTGCTGAAAAACTTCAAACTTCAGAGCTCTACTTCACTAACAAAATATATACGTCAAAATAAACAGCATATTTTAAGTTTCAGGGTGCCGAAAGAATGCTCCTAATAAAATTAAGAATCCACAGTTTGATCATCTTTCCAGTTTACCTGTGCCTGAATTAGGTTATGTTCGGCAAGTTGTGTGACCCCAAGAGGAACAACTTGCTGCGTAGTCAAAACATACGGCACCGTACCTTGTGCAGTTGCAGGTGACACAGGAACAGAAAGCCGTAAAAAGTCACGCGGTAATTCACCCAAAAGAACCTTAATAAGTTTTTATTTCAACAACATCACAAATGAAGCAAAAAAAGTAATGTTTGTACCAAGTTGTTTAAAAAATTTAAAACAAAAAACCATTAAGCAGACAAAAATATTGCCTTATTTACCATTTTTCGCCTCTCCGCTACGGTTAGTCGAGAGCTAGATGACGGGCCTGGTGCTTGTGAAGATGCTGCAGCAGCCATTTCTTCACTCCAAATACAATACCAAACTGTTCGCCACTGTCAAATAACGGATAACAAAAGCGATACAATACTAATAACAGCAATAAATCACTATAATTTTGTAGTAATCGGAAGGTGTTTAAAGTCGATCAGAAAAACAAATCCTATAAGAGTGACTACAAAAACACACAAAAAGCAGATGAATCGAAAATCCAGAAATACGACTAGCAAAAAACAGTAAAGATCAGAAAACAAAACAAAAAGAGAAAAGAGGAAGAAATGAGAAGCAAAAACGAATTTTATAAGCATCAGTAAATCAACAAACGGTAGTAATTACGATCATTTTAAAATCAGGCAAAATTAAGAATTTCACTGTCCCATTTAACGCCAGGCTAACCGTCTAATGCACTTAGTTTGAAATAAACAAAATTTGTACTCCTCAAACTTCCTACATGCTCGTCACACAATCTTCATCAGACATCTGGACAAGCAAACAAGCGCAATTCCACTGAATGATATTAAATAAATAAATATGAAATTACCAAAATTAGGCCTTTTATTGAAAGAAACTTCGAAATCAAAAAGAGAAGCGCAATTATTTACGCTAAACTTTCTGCCGCAACATGCTACTCCTTTTCCGGCGTACGATTTTTGAATCATTCATTTGTGTTTCTTTTTCTTCCTCCCTTTCCTCCACCTTCCCTTTTCTTTTGAGTAAACCTGATAAAATGTTAACCTGGCCCTTCCCACTCACATTCTACCAAACATTTTGAAAGCTTAAAACTCCTAAAACAAGCCAGTAGTATACATCAAAACAGTAAACTAAACTGATACAAAAAATTTAAGTATTGGCACGAATTTTTAATGCCAATAAGCGTCTTTTTTTTTCAATATCTTTGAATATTAATAACATATTGTAAATATTAACATAAATGTATATTCTAACAGGAAAATAAAAAGGTGGATA